ACATAATACTGGTATCACTATCTATGCTACACAGTATTTCCTCCTTTTTAAGGAATATGAGCCTACTTGTAATTAAAGGAATTCTACATTAATGATGCTGAAAGTCTCAGAGGGAAAAATGTAATGTCCACTGCATAATATTATGCCAGAATTACATGTGCAGAATATTTTTAATAATCTTTGTTTCTTAATTTAGTTTTGATTGGTTATGAAATACAGAGTAGCACTCAAGGGCTCAAATTTCTACTGCCATCAGCATTTCTGGTTTATAAATTGTACAAATGCACAGGACTCCCATCCGCAGGCTCCTTTTCAAGCTTCTGTTTAACCTATGAAGGAAATTAGCTGCAGCAACTATAATTGATGATAAGTTCATCAAATTTTAGCTGCTGGTATTATGTTATGATATCTAGGTCTAAACACAAACAGAAAATTATATTTTCATGTTGCCATTTGAGCTGCAAGCACAGGTCAGTAAGGTAAATCCGTCTGTAGTTTGCAAATTACAGCAACAGCCACTAGGAGTCTCCTGGTCAAATTCATGATGAATTTGCACAGTAATCACGGCTCAGGTTTGAATGCAAGCCCCGTGCCAAAGGCTGGATTTCAGCAGAGGGGTCAGTCCATGTGCAGGGCAGGTGGGACTGGGGTGACAGGGTCCCGGAGCTGAGTAGCATCATCAGGTTCCTGGATACAGCTGGCACATGTTTTAGAAGGAAAGCCAGAAGTCACCTGCACACTGTTCTGGTAGAGCAAAAGATGGTGACAGTCGTGAGAAGTCAGATTTGTTTCTCTTTATGACTGGACAGAGTATTGTGGAATTGCTCTTACAAAGAGGGAAGTAGATTTCACTGACTGTTAGTTACTCCCAGGGATTTCAAGCAGATTTGTTTTGCACACAAGTGCTGCAGGCCACAGGAATTAGCACCACCAGGTACTTCAAAACTTTCTTAGTGTCTCTACACAGTGAAACCTGCAGTTCCAACCTGAAAATGTGAATCGCTTCTTTCTCTTCTCCTCTCTCCTCCCAGGCCAACTATGTACAAGCATATGGTGCCAGACACACTCAGCAATGCCAAATGCTCCAAATTCATAAATTACAAACCTGCAGGAAGGGGTCACGCTGGCTCAAACACTGTGGCTGTTCAGTCCAAGTCTCTGACTGACAAAAGATGTCCAAATTTCCTCGAAGGAATACCACAGAAAGCAGTCATGTACGTTCTGCCAGCGTTTGTACCTCGCTCTGAGACACTAGAGATTGCTTTAAAATGGGCAGGGAAGCCAGAGGTGGCCCTTCCCCACACTGCTGGTTATCCCACAGGCAAGAGGAGTGCTGTTTATTCTGGAAGGATGCTGTCACATCCTCCTTACAGATACATGCAACTCCACATCTAGAAACTGTAAGTATTTACTGCTCTCAGCCACTTATTTGTTTATATGTTTTTTTTCATGCATCTCTCCTCTTGAGCAAAAATCCTTTCCAAGCTGTACAAATCCTGAATGACTTTAAATCTGATGAGATTTTAAACAAATAATAATTTGGAAGGCCATTTATTTGGCTTCTGCTTTCTGAGCTCATTGGTTTCATTTTCAAACTTTTCCCTGCAAACAGAAGGACTGAGGAAATAAAGATGATGTTTTAAATGAAAGCTGAGAATCTCACATAATCATAATTGTAGGACTCCAGGGGTTTGAGGTTTCAGGATAATCTCATGAGCTGTCAATACTGAATGTCACCAGAAACTATAATGTTATTCTCGGAATAGATGCCTAAAAGCAACTGTGGGATAGTTTTTCTGTTGCATGCTCCCCATAATACCTACAAATGCTGTTCTGGGGGGACACCACAAAGGTACCTGCAAGTGGTGAGCTGCCAAATGCTGGCTCTAGCTGCCAACTAGGGCTGTTATATTTTGCAACAAATTTACATATGCAAAGCCCAGTTATTCAGTCTGTCAACTAAACAAGCTCACTAAGTACAAATTTATCATGGACTCATAAGAACATTTAATACCATGGGGAATATGCAGAAATAAGTAGGGGGCCAATTTAACCACCCATCTCCTCTGTATTGTATGCTCGAACACATTGCAATTCACGGCTGCTTTGTATGTTATTGCAGATTATTATCAGCTACTCTCACAGACTGCTTAGATTCTACCATAATCTCCCAGCAGGACTTGAATGAAATTCTCAGTCTGGCTTGTTTCAAGGATCTAATCTATATTACACCGAAGGCTGACAGAGACTCAACAGCTAGTACCTTAGTCAATTTGGTGAACAGAAAATTAGTAAGCCTGATCAGGGAACTGACATGCAAATAAAACAGGAGGCTGCTTCAACCTCCTTGTCATCCTGCAGAAGCAGACTTGGCTGCTTCGTACCCTTGCTTATTATTAGAATAGCTGAAAAGACCCTGTTCTTCTCCAAGTCAGTGTTAACCTGATTTCAATAACAAAACAGTGGTACAGTTTAGCAGGCACATAGCCAGTACTTACAAGAAAACCAAGCATTTGTCTAAGCCAGTTTGGCACTTCACCATGCTGAAAAGAAACCTTTGCATCTTTGTCACTTCAAATTTGGGATTTTTTAGCACAAGAACATGCCTAACACGAAAGAACTCTTTTTTCTACTGCCCACTTTCCCCAAGTATGTCACTGCTATCTTCTTAACTCATTTTCTAAAACTAAAAGTGAACACAAAAATAAAAGACCTCAAAAATGCCAAAGGCTCAGCCCTATAAAATATATAGAACTTGAGTTTGAAGGAAATACCTAATTCCTACTGGTAGCTATAGCACAGATACACATGAAGCATTTTTAGGGATGAGAATGCTCTGCTGTGAGCCATGGGCAGTTTCTTAGGAACATTAAATATTTCTGTGATTTTCCTTATGTTTCAAGCAAGCCAAACCATTACCAATGCATATCTAAATATAGTGTATATGTACAATCTACATCTATCCTGGAAACAAATCCCACAGTTTATCATGCAAGAGTCAGTCACTCTACACCTGTGTAGCTAAATACACACTCTCATTCTGCATGCTCTCTCTCCCTCTTCCCCTTTTGCTCCCCTTCCTCTGCTTCTCACCTGAGGATTCTGGTGGCCTTCTGCATCTCACAGGCTTAAGCTCCAAGTGAGCCACAGCTGTAACCTCAGGTCACTCCCAAGCAAGCTTTCATCCCACATCACAGCACTGATGACCTGCTGCGGTCAAATGCTTTCCAGGGGAGTTCTGGCACCATTTTTAACACTTAGATTTAATCAAAATGTCTTTTGTTTGCCTGGCTGTTTTTTGTTTAAAGTTGTTGTTCTAACTAGAGTGCATACTGATAACAAAGACCTTCAGAAACTTACAGAATAACTTAAGATAGGAACTGTTGCAATGTTTATCTGCACTAAAAGGAAGAAACAAGTTTAAACGGGCAGGTTTGTTTGTTTTGGTTTTTTTATTAAAATAATAACTTTCTACATTACATGATGAATTACTAATATTATTGAGTGCTAAATCACAGCTATTACTATTCAGAGGGAAGAAATGTATTTCAAGATGAAGGACAAAACCCAGTAAGACAGTATTATGTGGGGCACATGACTTCCATTTGTTTTTAAACAGTGGCTGCTTGAAGGTTCTTGGAGGTTTAGAGTGTCAAAGACATGTCAGCAGAGATGGATTAGTGGGCAGAGAGCAAGTGGTGCAGTCAAAGGTTCATAGTGAATGTAATTTATTCATGTAGCTCCGCAATTTATCACGTGGCTATTACCATAATGTATGTGGGAAGCAGCTGCAAGCGTGCAAATAATGCCTTAAATGTATGTGTGGTTGGATCTGAACTCCTCACAGAACAGCAGTGGTGGAAAATGATGCCACAAGGCATTTAAAAGCAAATTTCCTTCCTGCGGGGATGCTGTCACCCAGCAATGATGATTTGTACACAGGCAAATAAATATCTTGTAGACTTTTCTCAGTTGTGATAACCTCACTTACCTAAACTCATTGGTTTTTCAAACCTAAATAATGTAGGTAATGTGGTGCATGTTTCCAGTGCTGTATTAACAGATGTAAGTGTGCATTTTTGTACCCCGAACTCATATTTTCTAGTCAAGGAACTCAATATTTTCCACTCACTATTTAACAGAAATATTCAATGGCAAAGAAAAGAAATCCTCTGTGGGTGTGAGGACAAAGTGTGATCTGCAAGTTTAAAGATCTTTAAGTGAAAAAACTTCTCACAGTGTGATCTATCAAACACTTGGGAGCAGCACAGCTGTAAAAGATTGATATACATACATACATATGTGTGTATACACATATAGAGTGTCTGCCTGGCTTCTTATACCTGTGCATTTACTTACCAAGCCAAACGTTTCCAAACCCAGTCTATTTTAGGACCATGTAAAATAAGGAGCTTTGGTCTCTCTTAGTTTGCTTGAATGCCTACAGTTTCAGCTGGGAAGAGAGCTGTGAGTAGTTGCTAGAGCTTGGAGGGGTTTTTAGCTGCACTGTCCATACACATCTGCTGCAGCTCCTTGGGGAGTTGGGAAAACTTCAACAGCCCAACTCCCACCCCCATTTTTTAAGCTTTAGCAATTTGAGTTCAATTGGTCTCACTGTTTGGAAATTATGCTTAATTATGCCGTGCTGTGATGCTTTAAACTGATTTTAGTGGAATGGGTTCATTCAAGTCTTTCTTGATCAGGCAAAGGCCACCCCAGTTATGGGTTAGCACAATAGGAGTTTTATGCTTGTTTCTTTTGATACATTAAAAGTTGCTGTAGAGATACTGAATTCAGATAAAGTCAAGTGCTTATAAGCAGAACATCTCATTGCTCAGCTTAATGTACTGCTCAGAGTTTTGTACAGCAGAACCTTTCACATTTGGAACAAAATGCGGGTTTTCTTGGATAATTTTGTGTGCACTCTAGGGCTTCTATTTTAAAGCCATCTACCACAAATATATCCCCACTACTGATGCAAAATGAAAAGCTTGCCTTACCATTGCACAGAAAGTCTCAGGAGGATCTCCACATGTTATGTCTGGGGGATCCAGAGTCACTTTTACATATTTGATCATGTCTCTGGCTTCTGGCTGGCAGGCCATGTAATCCCATACTTTTCCTTCTTCCGTGTAAATCTGAGTCTTACACACGTCATAGTGTCCCCACACAGAAGGATAGTGCTGCATCACAGAGGATACAGTAACCCAGAGGGCGTGAAGTGACAGGAATCTTGACAAATACATTTCTAAATCCTTTGATGTCAGCTTCGTAAGGATGCTCAGTGCTGGCGTATGTGCAGTCTACAGATTATATGTACATATACACGTATATATTTATAAAATAGGTTCCAACTCAAACGTGAAGCATAGGATAGGATGTTCTTTTCACTGTGTTAAAGACTTTGGTAGAAGCCACCCAGGCCCTGATGACAGCCTTTCACAGCCATGCAGCACTTGTCCTTCGTCTTATAACTTATCTGTCAGGGCTTCTTGTAAAAGATGTCCAACAGCTGATAATAATTTGTGAAGTTGCAGGTCTTCTGCTACACTCTCGATAACCCTGAGTGATCCTCCGTGTTCAGGGCTTGCAGGGGATGCCTGGATGCACTGATAAATCAGTATCCGAAGGAAGAGGGTGAGTGTCTATAGGCTGGTGTCTGATTCCCATCAATCATCCTTTTCTTCTGGCACCAGCACCCTTTTAGAAACAATAAAAATTAGAGTTATTGTCCAAGAATCAATGCATTACAAAATATACGATATGTTGACATTTTGGAGGTTTGATGCAATATAAAGTAAATTGGTACAATATGGATAACCTTTACTGTGGGCTCTGTGCTAGAATGAAGAAACTACCAAAATCATTCACAGTGAAAAGTATTTTGACATGAAGGATTTAACTGTACTCTAACAAAGACAGATTTATAATGTTCCAGGTGAGTTAGAGGTTCCTGCTTCCAAAACTGTACTTCACCCTAGCAAAACTGGAGAGCAAACTACTGAACTCAGCCACGGCCCAGATGGTGCAGGCAGGCGGGAGCAGGCAGACCAGCACTGTGGGGCAGCAGCAGCAAGGTTTTTATTAAAGTGACAAAGAGATGGGCATCGGGGCTAGCAGGTGCTGGTAGTTTCTTGGCAAGAGGACCTCATGGAGTTCCAAAAGCCTTACATATTTCTTTTAATATCATTATTATTTTAAGAATAACAAAGATACGGCAAATAAAATTCAATTTCCTTGACAATTCTCATTTGGACTGCAAAAGCTTTGCTCCTTTTATTTTTTCCTTTGAACTGTGTTTTACTGACCACATTGATAACAAACTACTGAAAAATATAATGGCTTATTTTGCAGCTTACTATAAGGATGCTTTCCTCCCCTTATTTTCTTAGGTTTGAGGGTGGCTGTACCTGAGTACTGAGCACTTATTTCACAGCAGAACTATGCCCTTTCCCCTCTTCGGAAAACAACAAGAAATTCCCTTGCTTTGTAGCACCTGAATCACATAATTACAGGTATAAAATGCTAGAATGTTATCACAGCAACTTCGAATATACATTTCCTAAATAACGTAGGAAAGAAAATCCAAATTATGTATGAGGAAAACCGCAAAGACGAAGTACCCTAAAAGGGCCAAGGAGAACCAGAGGGAGGAATTGCAGACCATTTGTGTCAGCCTGTGCCACCCGAGGTTGGAGAGCCGGGGCGCTGGGCTGTCGGCAGGAGATTTCGGCCAGACGCCGCAGCACTTCCACACTTCCTTTGTCTGGATGCTAAAATCCAGGCAGCCCCGTCGGGCAGATGTTGAGAAACGACCGTAAGTCGCCACTTTCTGCAGCCTGCTTTGCTTCCCAGCTTTAAATTATGCCCAGTGTCGTGAACCCTCCTAGAGCCCACAGCCACGGGAAGAGGTGTGTGACCTGGTAAGCTCCTTAACGTGTCATGTCGGGAATATGCATCTTGAAAACTTATCTTCAAAGCTATTCCCAAACAGCCTCCCTATATTTAAATAATGCTTCATCTTAAACTGAGCTAAACTACAGACACCATGAAATGCCAACAGATGGTTGAATTGTGTTTCCATAGCAAAGTAATTTACAATAATTGCTGTATGGACGTAAATGCAATTTTCCATTATATTCATTTTATCAAGTGTTACCATACAATTCTCATGTATTTTATCAGAATACACAGAGAATATCTGAATTTTCCTGCAGTAACAATTCTCAATTAGTTCGAACATATTTAAGCTTCAAATCTGAATTTGACACAAAAGCAGAAATATCTGAGACCAAATTAAATTTAAATCTCTTTAAGAAGCACGCTGGGTAGTACCGCTAGTTTTGTAGCAACCTTACATTCTTTTTTTTTTGGTTTGTTTTCAATGGGAGTGTTGGCACATTATTTTGGAATTCGGTAATTCTGAGAACACTTTCCACGTCATTCTAAAGACACTTCCTCCCCTCTGTTTCCTTTCCAATGTATTTACTATTTTGAAGGCGAAAAAAATGCATTCACAAGACCCCATAGTTTAGGGTTATGGGAAACTATGTCACTATGAAAATGGGAAACAACTCCTTGCTAGAAGAGGCCCCAAATTATTTTAAATTTATAGCAAATCAAATACCGTTTATTGGAGATGGCTTGGTCATAGCTGGGATAAACAGTAAGTATGTAAATATAATCTTTCTGTGTAGAAATAAGAAGTTACTGAGTTTAATTATCTTCAGACCGCAAGCTTGTATAATCAGGCAAAAAAAGAGTTTGTTTTCTTTAATATCTTCCTTTCTAGCTCTTCAGTTACCTATAACCTTTTATAACTGCTGAGACTCAGATCCTTTAATAAACAGGACTGGGTAGGACTAAATAATGTGAAGCAAGCCGCTACCTTAACACACTGTGCTAAAATACTTCCCATATAACGAATTCTCATTAAAGTAAGCCAGTCATAATGATGGTCGTTACACAGAATTATAGACTATAACATCGATTGAATTTAGTGCACTGACAAGAAAAAAGTGCAGAGGAGTGCACGACATCTGAGCATTAGGCAGCTGTAGCCGTGTACGACAGACACTCCTGACAAGAAGCAGCCAATTATAGCTTAAATTTCTGGCATATAACCAGTTCTGATTAATAGTTTTCCATTACATTACAGACATATTATTAATGTATTAAAAATGTCAAGCTTTGGCAAGAACTAGTATGGCATGGCTCAGTTAGCCTGCAATATCTTCTTTTAATGAGCTTCCATTGATATAGAGAAAGATATTGACCAAAGCACATTAAGCATCATGTGCTGAGTGCTGCCAGGATTTTTTCTGATGGAGCTATACAATTTGTCTTGCTTTTGTTTGTTCTTGCAGAGTCACTCATGATATGCATTTTACATTTCAGTGCCCTATTGCTAAGGACATACCTATTTGAATTATTTTGTAAAAAAACCGTTTAGAGTAACATTTCTGAAGTTTACAGCTGTACCAGATGTTTAGCGATAAGCCTCTAGCTGTGGGCAACACACAGCAATGGGGTTTTTTGTCCCCTGTAATGCCTGTGCATTTGACCTTAGAAAAAGGTAATCAAACCAAGCAGGAATAACTACAGTCTGATGCCCTGATTGCCTCCACCCTGCCCTGCCAGTCACACGCCTTGGGGGCCATGGAGGTGGCAAAGAGGGATCATCGTCCTTGCTGGCTGGGACGGCAAAGTGCCGGGAGCACTCCGGCTGATGGCTGCAAAGCCTCCAGAGCACACCGCTGCCGGCGTCTTCTGTGTGGGGCAGCAGCGCTGGGCCCTCGAACACTCCCAGGTGCCACTGCACTATGGAGAACACTCGGAGACACCGGCCACATCTGGCAAAGGCCACATCTGCTCTCTGCCTTCCCCCCGGAGCGCTGCTCCGTCTGCGGTCCCTCTGGCCACAGGTGAGTGTGTCACAGCCATTGAGAAGAATGGCATGCGGCTGAACCCCAGACTGAAATCAGCTGCGAGGAGGCTCTGAGCACATGCATCCCTTTCCAGGTGGGGAAGTCACACCTCACACAGCATGCTAATTCTGCAGATGGAGGAGACACCCCCTTTACAGAATTAGATAAAATGCATCTTGGCAGAATCAGTGCCAGGGAAGAACTTCAGGTCTCATTAGGGGTTGTTAGCAAACACGCCTCCTCTGCCTCCTTCCATCACTGTGAAAATCCACCCCCTTCCCCAAATAACTCCCTCCTCACAAACCAGAGCGGTCGGATGTCTTGCATGAGGTCCCTGCTGGGAAACCACGGTGAGATCCATAGGCACGGGCTCTTGGGCCTCTCTCTCTGGCAAGCCACGGGAACGTGAAGGAGGTAATAAAATAAATAGTGACCACCTCCCCCATTGACCATGCATTGGATCGAGTGTAGCCCGGCAGCACACACGAACAGGAACGAGAGCCAACACCAGATCCCAGACTGCCTGAGGAGAACTGGCTCAAAGAATGAGGCAAGGCAAGGAGTGCCGGCTGTCACCTCCCAACAGCAGCAGCTGCAGAACAGATTTTTCCAAAGGAAACATGTTTCAAGTTTGTATCCCGAACAGCTTAAGCAGATGAATGTGTCCAATCAAGCCCAAGTAAAAAGCTCTTTTGCCTCCACTCCAGTTGTTAATTATTTAAAGCCAGTTTAGAACATAGGAAATAATGTGTATTAGAAAACAGAACTAACCCTCATGCAATTTACATTTACTAACCGGATGTTTTATACCATGCTACACCTAGGCAACTTGAGAACCTTGTACATATACAAACCAACTCCTTTTATAAAGGCAAAATAATTTATCTATTCAAAGAAGAAGGGAACCTGTACTTAACGATTTAATACACATTATTTCTGTCAATACTTGTATGAAATGCAGTATACTCAAGCAACTGCTTTGGTGTCTTTAGCCTCAAATGCTGTTCCAATCAAAGTTTAGGTTCTATTCTTATCCAGCTTATTTAACTATTTAGCAGAAAAAGATTTCTTTGCCTCAGGAGAAATTTAAAATGTCAATACCTATTGGCTAAAGAAAATGAAATACAGCTACTAAAAAACTGTGATTTGGCACTATACTTGAAATACTTTTGGTTTTCACACATTATTCTTTGCTGACTGACACATCATACTACCACTGCCATTACTTGCCAGGTATCATCAGCTGTCAGAACATGGAGTAAAAAGCATTTCAGCTATTCAAATTTTAGAGTCTTAGTACATAGCTGCTTTTTTTCCTCTGGCATCTTTATAATTGTAGCTTATTGCCTTAAATATCTCTGTACCTAGCATCAATCTGTTCTGCAAGTTTTTCCTCTGGGAATTTAATTTAGCATTTGGGGCAGTTACAGGCTTTGTTTTGGGATTTTTTTAAATGATTCTTCACGCTCAATAAGGTGATGGATGCTCATCACACAGTGTATCCAGGGTATAGGGTTACAAAGCTTTCAAGTTATGGTGTGAACAGATGACTTTATAACTGAAAGTTCTTAGCCTCAGAAATGAATGCCTACCGGTTGTTGAATTTGTTCTGTGCTATTGCTGTATTTTACATAAATAGCTAGAAAGTTGGTGCTGCTTATCTGTGTCAGAAGGTTGAGGGTTGAGACAAAGTTCATAACTCCATAACAGTATTGCCACTAACTGCTCGGAACTCTCTGGTAATCATCCTTTTAAAGGTCCAGAAATATACCAGAAATCAACCTTTATTTTTTCCACATGAAAACCACAAAACAAAAAAAAAACCCCAAAACAAACTACCACCACCACAACAACAACAACAAAAAACAAGCCAGGGGAAGTTCTGCTGTGGTTTTCTTCCCTTTGACGGGCTTCCCAGGCCACAGCTTCTCATGCTCAACCGCATTGTCCTTAGGCAAGACAGTGACTTATTCCCTCTTTAAAAGCATCTCCACCGCTTGTTCCACTCACTGTCTCCGCTAACATTTCTGTAGAAGTAATGCTGGCTCCTACCACATCAGATCCGGAATATTGAAAAGTTGATTGCAGAACAATAAAAGTATATCAATCAGAGGCCAAAACCGCACATGCACCAACTTCGAGAGTAGAAAAGCATCTGCTTTATCGCGTTTAGCTGATCTGCGCTGCTCACCGCCATGAGGGGTTTTCTTTGAGGGTTCTGTGTGCATGTGAATGTTTAGAAAAGCCGCCCGCAATTTCCGATGCAAGGGAGGAACAGTTTCCAGGCTGGGTACCAGTGCCCTGCGCGCTGCTCCTCGCCGGCGGGGCGATGCGCGATGCCCGCGCCGCCGCCTCTGCCCGCCGGGACCGCGGCTCCGGCTCGGCGCGCGGCTGCGGGGCGGGCGCGGCGCGAGGGACGCGCCCCTCCCTCAGGGCGCTCCCACCGCCCGCGCCCCTTCAAAGCTCGGCGTGGCGCAGCCCGGCCCGGTCCAAGCTCCGGCTCCCGGTTCCGAGCTCCGGCGGAGGAGGCACCGCGCAGGTACCGCCCCAGCCCAGCCCCGGCCCCGCCGCGCTCCGCTCCGCGCGGGCGGCAGGGGGCGCGCGGCCCGCGCCGATCCGCCCGCGGCCGGTGGCCCGAGCCCGGCGGGGCGACCCCCGCACCCGGCACCGCACCGGCCCCGGTACCGCGCAGCCCCCGCGCCCCGCACTGCCCCGGAGCGAGGCGGGCCGTACTCACCCTGCGGGCTCGGGCCGCCCGAGCCTCACCGCGGGGCGGCGCGGAGCCGCCGCGGCGCTGGGACGCGCTGGTGCTCCCTCGGTGGCGGCATGAAGGGCCGCGGGGAGGGCGTTAGGAGGGGAGGATGCTCTTCCCCGAGAAAGTTTCCGGAGGGTCGCGGGGCGGCTCGGCGGGGCCGCGGCTGGCCCCAGGCACTTGTCGGCGTCGAAGTTTGGCAGGGCGCGGGCGGCCGCACTCCTCCGGCGCTCGGCGGGGCGGCGGGCGGGTCTTGCCCGCCGGGGCTCCCCGCCCGCCACCGCCGCTCAGGGCGGGGGCGGCCCCGCGCGGGGCGCCGGTGTCCGCGGCATGAGGCGCGGGGCGAGCGGAGCGCGCCCCTGGCCGGGGCTGCGGCGCGGAGGGCTCCGGCGGCGCGGCCAAACTTCGGGGGGCGGCGGCGGCAGCGCCTCCTCACTTCGGAGCGACCTCGCCGCGACTGCCGGCGAGCGGGGCGGCGGCAGCTACCCCACCTCCGGGCCCGCGCAACGCGCGGCCCTAGCGCCGCCGCCGCGCCCGCCCCCCCGCCGCCGCGCTCCCCGCCCCGCCGCCCCGCGGGCGCTCCGCCGGCGCCGCCTGCCCCGCGGGGGGGGGGGCAACGGGACGGGACCCGCCGCTCCGGACCGAGCGGAAGCCGCCCAGCCGCCGGCCGGGCTGTGGCTGCTCCCTGCCCGCTGGAGTAGCCTTAATTTTCCCGTGTTATTTCGGCTTCAGCCTGGTAACGCACAGGCGGAGGTGCTGTCCGTGCTGCTGCCGTCCGAGCCCCGAGCCTGGCGGGCTGACCCCAGCGCCCCGCCGCAGCCGCGCTTGGCGGCAGGGACAGGGCAGCGTCCCGCCCGACTCGCCGGAGGGTCCCTCCGCAGTGCGGGGCGCGCCGGGGAAGCGCCGCTTCGTCCTCTGCCTACAGCACCGAAGTGCCACCGACACTGCGAGGGAGCGCGACTTGTCCTCTTGTGGTGCTGCTGTGACCGCCCGCCCCGTGCCGGCCCTTCGGGGCTCCTGAAAGACGCGAAAACCCTTCTCGTTCTGCTGTGCTTTCTCGTTCCCTCCTGCACGCCCTCTACTTCTGTCGCTTAAAGGAGAGGCGCACGCACTTCTTTCTCCCTTTTAGATTTCTCCAAGCTACAAAACCGTATCTGAAACTAATGACTAGCAAGTCCCGTGCAGGAATTGCGCTTGCTCCTGGCAACTACCTGGTTACTGAATTTGACCGACTGCAGCTGCCAGCGCTGGGCAGTGGGACACTGGCTGTATTGTGAACCCTCAGAAGCTGCGTTTATCGTTTGTTTGCGTGTTTTGCATGTTAAGAGGTGTTAAATGTACTTATGTAGGCAAGAGTGCCGTAGTATTTTGTTGACAAAATTTGGCGTTTTGCAATGCCAGTAGGTAGCCAGATGAAATGAGGCAGGGGATTTCTGGAAGAGTAAGAAATTTGTTCTCTATTTGAACCATGGAATTTGGTAGGTTGTGGAAATAACTGGCAGGAGCCATTAGGAAGTACAGTTTTTTTCTTTCCGCTAAACCAGGTAACCCAGCAAAGTAAAAAAAGATGCCTCCTAGTTCCTCCCAGCTTTTGTTTCCCTGAGTAGGCAGTGGTGTTGCTTTTGGCCTTTCCATTCACTCTCTGGAATCTCTATTAGTGCAGGTACCACATTCATGGAAAAGTTCTTTGTGTGGGAAAGCCAGGAGTGATCAAAGGGGTGGGAAAAACCAGCTTCAGGGATTTTCAATCCCCAAAAGCAATTCTTGCTTTGTTTGCAGCCTCCAGGTCCCTGAGGTGGTACAAAAGGATAGAAGATGGAAATCAGTAATTTTTTCTTCCCACTTGAACTGGAAGCATGTCAGGCATCGATGCTCCACAGGACCCTTTGTAAAGAAGAGGGGCAGAGTTTCACTGCAGTTGGAAGAAAAGGGTTGTTTTCCTAATTACTAGACAGATGGTGGGCTGTACGGCAAAGTGCAGGAGACTGCACACGCTGAGCCAAGTCGCTGCAGTGGCACATGCGGAGGGACCAGCCCTGCCGCTGTGACAGCTGTGGGGTTCCTGTGCCTCGTGGCGCTCCAGGCGCAGCGCCTTTGTCTCTGGGCCGGCTGTTCGCAGGTGCTGCGAGGGGAGTGGTTTGGGAGCGCTGGAGGAGTGCTGTCTTGCTTTCGACTTGAATTGGGAGAGGATGCCTTCTTTCCAACTGTGGAGAGTGAGGCTCTTCATGGCACAGCAATGCCACTGGCAGTGGTGTACTTGGAGAGCAGAGCCAGGCACGCCATACACACCTGCCCTGCACCTTGTGCTGCTCCTGTCACCTGCCCTAAACTTCACCTCCAGGGATGTGTTGGAAATTTTCTCTCCTCTATGCAGAGTCTTTGCCCTCTCTCCTGAGACCATTATTTGCCTGGTGGGACTGGCTGGCCATAAAGATTAAAAGCAGGACCGAGTCATCTGATACGTCAAACATCATTAACTTCTTCATGTTAATGGTATTGGCCTCTTCTGCATCAAAGCTAGAGCAGCTGGTTTGAGTGCAGTGTCACCAAGTCTGAGATTAGATGTGCCTTGCTGGTAGAAATGATGGCCAAGAATCAAGTCTAGTCTGACAACGTGGCCAAACTTTACAGCCAAATTTTAAGCTCCCGAGAAAAAAGGGAACTGATTTAAATTCTTTGTCAAAGGCTGTTGAAAGGATAGAAAAGCAGATGGAATTCAGCAGCTAGAGATTTATCTGTGGGGTTTTTTTTTGTTCTTTTTAGAGTCATAAGCTGGAGTTAAAAGGACAAGGGACGGTGCTGTTATTACCAAACTGAAAATACTGTGCCAATACCTGTATTATATTTCTGACAGCTCTTTTAGTAGTGAGTAATGATTGTTCACATGTAAATGGACTGGGCAACTCGCTGTCCCAGCACCTTGAAACTGGACTGTAGCAGGATTCCTAAAGCAGATTTGATATGTAGACAGAAGATAAGATTAACCAAAGTTGGAAAGGAATATTTAAAAACACCGCAGGTCCCACTGCCTGCTTTACAGGATTGGAAATTGACTAAAATGAAGATTTAGCCAGTTGTTAAATACCAAAGGATGGAAAGTCACAACACTGGGAAAGTGTTATCTTGAAAGTGCTTCTAGCAGTATTTCTTATGTCTTCTCAGTAATAGCTGGCATTGGCCCCTAACGGAATCAGGGAAGGGATTAATTTTTGATTACTGGCCTGAACATGGGAGCACCTATGCCTATTAGGACACTCCTTGCTACAAGGCATAATTTATACTAGAAGCAGCATAAATTGCTGGTACAGAAATGATATCGCTGATTGCAAAATTTCTGTGAAACACCAGCTGAACTGCAAGTTTTTAACCAAGTCCTAAATCTAAACAAGCTTTGCATGTTTTCAAGCTGTGGTTTGCCTATTTAGTGCATCCCCTCATGTGCCATTATGAATCTTTTATTACTTGCTGTAGTGCAAGTTGACCTCTAATGATACAGCAGAATTATTTTATTAGTGCCTTTCCCCACAGCAGAGTACTGCTGCAATGGGCAGTAGCAGAGTACCTGGCTTTGCCTGAAGAAGCAGCTGTCCCTGGAAATGGATCCAGAGACACAGGGAGCTTCCCTGCCTGGAGCTCAGTGTTTCAGCATGGTGATGGCTGAGGGCCACAGTGAAAAACGCAGGTGTGAAGTGATGCAGTGTCTGGGGCCTGAGCTCAGAACAGAGAGGCTGATCATGGTGGGGCCAGGACACTCTTGGCAGGACAGAGGGGAGGAGGCAGTGGGTGCAGCTGCTGGGGCTGAGGGGTGGCAGGGAGGGTCCTGCCATGCAGAGAGCAGCTCGGTGCTTCTGCACACCTCTGCTCTGCAGAGCCACTACCTGCTCCATGTGCTGCTCTGCTCCTCCACCACACTGCATACATATTTCTGACCTCTTTTGTCACCTGCTGAAGGAGTTTTTGTGGAGCAGCAGGCAAAAAGTGCAGGAGATAAGAGCAGGAATAGTGCTGATTTGCCCCTGCTGAGCTGAGACAGGGTAGAAGTGGCAAGAAACAGCAAATTCTCCCAGAGGCAGAGCTCGTCTGTCCACTTTATTGCTGCTTTGCCCACAGTAGTTTAACCTTCTGTAAAATCAATTGGCTGTCAAGAATCTGAGTGTTGTTCTGGGCTTCCATCTTTCGTGCCTCTGCTTACAGCAGAATGATAGGAAAATTGTATTTAGATAAATGACGAATCGAAAGGTTTCTGCATTAGAGTTGGAGTTGTTCACCCTGGAGAAGAAGAAAGCTCTGGAGAGACCTTATAGCACCTTCCAGTACCTAAAGGAGACCAACAGCAAGAGAGCTGAAGAGAGATTTTTTGCAAGGGTATGTAGTCATATGGAAAGGGGAAATGGCATTAAACTGAAAGGAGATAGAATAAAAGATTTCTTCCTAATAATTATTTTAAATCTGAGGATGCTGAGGCACTGGAACAGATGGCCCAAAGAAGTGGTAGATGTCCCCTTCCTGAAAGTGTTCAAGGAGGAATTGATGGGGCTCGATTTTAGGTTGTTAGCAACCAGGTGTGTTCCTGCTCATGTCAGGAGGATTGGAGCTAGAAACCAACTTAGGACATTGAAGAATTCTATGATTTGTACAGGCAGGTGACAAATCCTGACCTCTGTTCAGTGAAGCAGTGAATACACACACATCCCTATGTAGTGTTTTGACACTGCTTGAGCTTCAATGTAGCTCAAGGGATAGGGAGGCTGCTGAAAAAAATGTCACCCCTTGCTCTGAAACCTCCATCGCAGTAATTTGTGAGCGGTTTTGTCAGAGCAGGCTGACAGAACAAAAAATGCTGGCAGCTACAGGTGCCTTGTCTAGACCACAGCTTCCATCACAGCACTCTGCACCAGTAGACCCAGCTTAGCAGTCCTGGGAAGTCCTAATGGGGAAAGGCCTATGAAGGCACACCCCTGAGTAAGGTAATCTGGGCAGCCAGCTGGGAGTATGTTGTTACACTGAC